TGGTTTGGTGGAAACCTTAGAGGGCCCCCGCCCACCCAAGGGGGGGGCCAAGTTATTTTGGCCATACGGGGAGGCGCGGGGTTGCTCTTCCGGTAGGCGTAGGCGGCCCAGGCCACTTCCTCGTTGGGCCGGCCCCCACCCCGGGAGAAAGGGTGCCCGGGGCTGGACGTCTGCTTGACACCCAGGAAACCGTCGCCGCGTCTCCAGAGCTCGAGCCCTTCCCGCTCCGCCGCGGCGAGAGCCTCCTCCGCGCTCAAGTGGTTGGGGCACCCGCACGCCATCTACCTGCCGCGAACACGCTGTGAGCGATTTGAGGAGAGAGCTCAAAAATAACGCGTGGGCCCTCAGGAAACCCAAAGCGCAGAACCAACCCTCGGAGACGTGTTATGGCCCTGCGAACGCGCACCCCCGGTGTTTACTAGCTCCGAGTAGAGGGGGCGTTCTGCTGCTAGGGGAAACCTGGAGCGCGGAGCTAACCCTCGGAGACCCGTGTTTACTTTATGGCCCTTGCCCTGCGAATGCGCACCCCCCCTAGCTAGGGGTCAGGGCTCTCTAGCCCGTAGCCCGATGCCGATCATCCGGCTCGCTGGGTGCGCTTCTCAGCTCCCCGGCCCTGGATGTGAGGTTAATGACTGCACTCCAAGTGCTCCAAGTGCTCCCTCAGCGGAGCTGGGAAGAGGACCGCCGCAAGCGGCGTGGCGTGGAGCGGTTGTGCATCCCTCCGGGGGGCCCTCTGCGCCGGGGAGGCGTTGTTGGAGGCTAGGACGCAAGCGTCCGTCGCCCTTTTCAAACTCGGGGCCCACTCCGCTACGCTCCGACCCGTATTTGGAGGGGCTAAAAGTTTAAGGTGTTGCTGCGCAAAAGGGGTCGGACACCGGGCGCAGCTCATGCTAAGAGCTAGAAGAGGAGATAGAGAGAACAACCACCCTGTCCCGTTATTGCGTACACCAACACCACAAAACGCTCTCTCTCTCCTGTCCTCACTCAGGGGGGTCACAACTACCAAGTCCCTCGACTAGCTGCCACAGGGCGCAGCTGCAGATAGCTGCCACAGGGCGCAGCTGGAGACGCTCCCCCTCAATCGGCATCCACCCCCACCCGCTCCAGCCCCACTTCTGCTGCCGAGAGAGCTGAATCGAAGCAAGCGAGCCGTTGCATCTTGGCGTGCTCCTGGAGCGCGGCTTTCTGCTTGGCGGCCACGAGCACGGCGGAGTCGGCGTCGTAGCGCGCATCGTTCCCGCTCATCGCCCATTCCTCCCACGTGACGTCTGTCGGCCGCGATTCGATGTCGCCACCTTCATCGCCAACGAGGACTCCCCCGACTGCAGGGGGGCTCCGGCGCGGGGAGGGACTCCGCCTGCTGCGCTGGCCGACTGCGCCCTCCTCCTCCATGGGATCGATCCGATTCAGCAGCGGCGGTGCTGCGCGGCGCCGCGGGCACGTCAGCGGCTTCCCCTCAAGTTGCGCGAAAGCACGGATTTGGCGGACGTTCTGCTTTCAACTTTACGTCTTGGCACCAGCTGAAGGCTTGCGTCCCAGATCACGCAGTTCGTGCACGGTATTCGGATTTTGCTATTTGCTCGTGTGGGGGTATATTGCAGATTTGTCAATGGTACCGCGTCTGCGACGCGGGCGCCTTGCGAGCAGAGCCCTTAGCCACCCTTCATATCTTGCGCGGTCAAAATAACGAACCGGCCCTCAGCGGAGCTGGGGATAGGACCGCCGCAAGCGGCGTGGCGTGGAGCGGTTGAGCATCCCTCCGGGGGCCCCTCTGCGCCGGGGAGGCGTTGTTGGAGGCTAGGACGCAAGCGTCCGTCGCCCTTTTCAAACTCGGGGCCCACTCCGCTACGGGCGGTTCGCGCAAAGCCAGCGTCGTTACAGAAAAAAAAAGAGAGTCGCATGAATTTATGCGCGGAGGCCACAGCTCTTCCCTCACCGCTCCATCGCTGGCGACATCGCAGGAGGAGCCCCGGCGGCGCCCAGCATTCCCGGCGGGGGCTTAGTGTAGCCCATCGGCTTCGGCCACAAACAAACGGTACCCACACAGCGCACACACGTAGTCCGTGACGTACTCATCGACCCATGGCACGGCACCGACGCCCTTGCAGATTTTGCCTCTCCGCCCTGGGGGATCCGGAACCGCCCCGCCATCGCGCCGCCCGCCGCCGCGCCGCGCCGCCCCCCGATGATTAATAATTAATAGTTATTATCCTAATTACTAACTAATAAATAAATAATCACACCACCCAGCTGGACCCTCACTGCCCCCGACTGAATACCTCTCCCCGGTGTGTGTGTGTGTGTGATCCAGCTCCGCCGTCCACGCCCCTCGCACCTATGACTCGACCAGTGTGAAGGTGAAGAGATGACACCGAGCGTGCGGGCAGCTGGCGGGCGGGAGGGGCAGCAGGAGCAGCATCATTGTCATCATCAGCAGCAGAGGAGCAGCGCCACCGCGCCGCCGCCGCCGTCCTCGCGCCGCCGCCACCGTCCGCGCGCCGCCGCCAGCCCGGTTTGCTGCTGCAGCCGCCTCCGCCGCCGCCGCCCGCCTCCGCAGTGCCCTCGCGCCCGCGGACAAAACCAGTCATATATGATGAGCTGGTTTTCCAGAGCGTACAAGACCTGCATCACTCCATGGCACGATCGGCCGGCGTTCCAACCGGCGCTCTTGTGCTGCCGGTTACGTCCGGTTCGAACCCCGGCCTTCGTGTCCTCGCGGAGCGACGCGGATCGCGCGCGTGTGCGACTGCGACAAGACGAAAAGCAGAAGCAGA